GAACCCGTACCCCCCCCATTCCCCCCCCCCCCGTGCAATAAGGTAAACCAGATCGAAAATGTTTGTTCCAGCTCTGTTCTTCACCCACCCCCTCTAAAACACACACACACTTTGCTCATGTTCCTAATATTTGTGGACATCCGTTTCTCTTTCTGTTAACTTGTTGTTTTTTTTCATTAAAAAAAAGGTGTTCTCTAAATGCATCAGCTAATCTATCTGAAAACCCAGCGCCCTTGCGTGTTAAGTTCACACTAGTAAACAGCATTGAGTTAAAAAGATAAGCTCTCAATATAGAAATTTTCTTTAGCATAAGCTCTCAGTACAGCATTCTTCCTTAGAATAAACTGCCAGTATAATATTTGTCTTTAGCATAAACTCTCAATATAAAATTTTTCTATAGCCATAACCCAATAGTCTGTTATCCTTATGCCTTCCCATCGCAAGACAAGTGAGGACGTACCGACATAGAATGTGTTAGGTCACCTCAAGACAGCGGTACCCAACAATGTGCAACATATGACAATAGGTTTAAGACTGCATATATAGTTAGGACGTATCAGACACACTGAGACTCCGAAACATTTAGTTGGGATCGTATTCCGTCGGGCAGACCGAGCTTTGTGAGGTCGATGCTCAGCACCACTTGCTCGGTGGTGTTACAAGGGATTTCGCCTCTTCGTGCTCTTCGTGGCGTGACGGACTAGTAGGGGGGGGGGGTCCCTTCTGAAGCTAAAAAATCCCAGTCAAACGCATGACTTCCTACGCAACGGAAGTTGAGCGCTAACATGATTACTGTTGCCGTTGATGTGTATGAGACAGTGGGTGGCCGCCCAAACCCTTGTCAATGATTAAAAAGACGCGGCCCTGAGAAAGCCGCTCCAAGCCGACCGTTTCGTCCCCGTTACGTCCCGACCAGACAGCTCCCTGGGCGGTGGGGAGTGGTAACGCAACAGCACCTCTCCGGAGAGGAAGTAAAGCCGTCCTGACCCATAGGAGAGTGGACTACGGACGCTTTAAACGCACCGCCCTCGGTCCGCCGGACGTCCCTCAAACCAGGAGGGAAGTTCCTGGCGCTCTTCCGCACGGTCTGGAGCTTCGGCTCTGGCCCGTTTGGGGGAGTGCCGGGGGGGGGGGTATTATGAGTGCAAACTCGACGACCCACCGACACCATCTCCAAAGTGATGTTATTAGTTGGGATCGTATTAGACACACGAAGACTACGAGACATTTAATTAGGAGCGTTGTAGACACATTGAGACTCCGAGACATTTAGTTAGGAGCGTATTAGACACACGAAGACTCCGAGACATTTACTTAGGAGCGTATTAGACACACGAAGACAACGAGACATTTAGTTGGGATCGAGTTTGACACACGGAGACTCCCAGAAACACTGTGACTCCCAGACACACGGTGACTCCCAGACACACGGAGACTCCCAGACACACTGTGACTCAAAGACACACGGTGACTCCCAGACACACGGAGACTCCCAGACACACGGAGACTCCCAGACACACGGAGACTCCAAGATACCCCGAAACCGACCGCAGTGAGCCCAAACATACATACACACACATACATAAAGACCATCTTTTTAAAAAAAAGGTAAATATGCCGCACCACGACTTCCCCTGCCATCCTACCCCAGGTCCTAAGTCGTCTAGAAGAGATGGTGGCAAAACGTGTCAGGTCCGCGTCCAACTCACCGACCAGTCCCAGACCTTATAACACTAATCTCATGAGCGTTCGTGTTTTCATTACCACCAAACCGGAAACTTGCTTTTTTTTTTTTTCTTCTTGTTATTCCAGCTAGCTCTGAATGAGATATCACTGCGCCCGAAGTATAGTAATTGTCGATAATAAAAGTACAGTAATGGTGGATAATAACGTAGACCAGGCCCGTACAACTCAAAATGTAAGGCGGGCCGTAATACGTTATGAAAAACTTGTGCGGGCAAAAGAAAATAGGACTGGGGAAAGCTATTAAGAAAATAATAAGAATAAAGAATATTTCGCTAATTCGCGGGACGCCAAGTGAGGGCTGGCGGGCCGTATTTTGTGCAGGCCTGGCGTTGATCTCTTTCATTCACAAGACAGGGATCTAGATAGCACTTTACACAAAAGAAAACAATGTATTTTCATTTCACTATAGGGTTTTAGCTGTTACCGGTAGAGAGCTTATTAGTTTGAATCATGAATAAATTTCCGGAAAGTTACATCGCATTCTTCTTTTCTCTCTCTCTCTCTCTCTCTCTCTCTCTCTCTCTCCAGCTTCCATTCAAGAACATCGCGAGTGTTTTCTTATTATATCTCCAGTGGCATTTCAAGGTGCCATTGACGTAACAGTAATTTAAGTCATTTTTTTTTTCATTTTAAAAATGATATTCTCCACGGGTCATTGCCAGTTCATGTTAGTGTCGGACGGTTCGACTCTCTCTCTCTGGCACCCGTCGTAACCCGCCCGGGCGAGCAACGGGCCGATGCTTGTCTTAGACCAATTGATTTGATACCGTCGTCTGAGGACAGCACGTTTCGTCTTCTGAATGCTCTCTGCGAGCAGGTGTCTCGATACGGTTACTGGAAATTTGATCGAAAGAAATTTCGTCGACGGTAAATTGATCGACGGTAATTTGATCGAACGGAAATTTTGTCGAATCTTTTTTTTTTCTTCAGTTCGCACGTTAAAATTTGCGTCAAATTTCTTTTTGAACGCACTATGCTATTTAGTAAAACAAAATAATTCGTCCAAAACGAAATTTGATGCAAAATTGTTACGTAAAAAATAGAAAATAAGTTTCGACCAAATTTCCGTTCGATTATATTACCGTCGACCAATTTACCGTCGACGAAATTTCTTTCGATCAAATTTCCGGATACGGTCTCGATACGGAGTCTAGGTTCACCATGCATTCTGGCGGGCTCCGTCTTTCAAACGGAAAAGTGAAGCTTGGATAAGCAGGATAAGTAAGAGCAACACATATCTATACAGGGCTCCTCTAACCAACACCGTTTAGGTCTGATCATTTTTGTTCCCCTCCCCAACCTGTTCCACCGTTCCGTAGAGGTGTCCGAAGTGTTACGCTTACATTTTAACAAAGTACCTAACGGCCAGCGTGTCATGCGATTCATTTCTCCCCACATAAATTCCAGGCTTATCTCAATATCTAAGCTTTAAACCAAAATAATAATAATAATGTGAATGATTCATCGCTGGCCCGACCATCCCACTAAACTGATTCCAGCCTGTGTTCCAATAGATATCGATTAAATAGACACCCCTATCTTTTTTTTTTTTTTTTTTACCCTTTTCTACAATAAAATGAAAGAAACAGTTTGACCAGAGGTCTAAAGGGGCCCGAGCGCGGGGGTGTGGGAAAAGTGGGGGGGGGGGGATAACCGTGTCTAGGCCACGGTCATCGTGATTGGGAATCTTGAAAGAGGTGGGAAGGTTGTGGGTGGGGAAACTCCCCGACGCCACCCACACAAGTCATTCATAACAACGGATCTCGTGCAGAAACGGGGTTGCCCTGTTGAGGAGACTCACGACTGAGCAGCTCACTTCTAGCGTTTCATCGAGTGGTTTCCGACACACTGACAAAGTGAGTATTGCAGCAGCTCCTTGGGTGTCATATCTTAGACAGCGGTTGTTTAAAGAAAATCAAACCACCGCTTTCAAATGTGCGTGTTTGTGTGATGTGTGTGTGTTGTGTGTGCTCCGTGCGTGTGTGTGGGTATATGTAAGTATAAATATAATTTATTTGGGAAACGAGATTTTGTAGCGTGACAACACGACGTAGTATGGCAGGTCATTTGCCC